CTTCATCGGGAAAGTCAATCCCACCGCCGTTGCCCTTGTGAGGCGAAATTTCATTGGGAAAGTCAATCCCATCGCCGTTGCCCTTGTGAGGCGAAACTTCATCGGGAAAGTCAATCCCATCGCCGTTGCCCTTGTGAGGCGAAACTTCATTGGGAGACACAATCCCGCCGCCATTGCCCTTGTCAGGCGAATCTTCATTGGGAATACCGCTACCGCCTTCGAAAGTCGTAACTTCTTCTGCAAATTGATTCAACGCTCTGAAGGTTTCCTGGCCGCGATGAGGAATGGTCCACTCGGAGGTGACAAAAGAATTCCCAGCCATTTCGATGGTTAACACGGGCTTCTTGTACGTGCGGTATATGTAATCATCGAACGCCCCGATCGCAACTCCAAAGGAACCCGCTGTCTGCGCCTTGTAGTTGGTACTACTGGCTGCCTCGGCCACTTTGGCCCCGAGCGCTTTAAACTTTTCATCGTCACCGTTGCCGATGGGTTCCGTCGTGTCGCCATTAGGGTACAAGACCACACCCCCGTACGAATGCACGTCCACACAGCCGGCGAGCTCAGAGCTCATGGACTCGAGCCACTTGTGAATCCCCTTAGTTTCTGGCTCGCTCAACGGACCCGTGCCAGGGTAAGTTTCGTTCTTGGGGGATACGTTGTTGGAGTGCTTGAAGCGCGCCGGCCAGTTGCGATTCAAGTCGACTTCGTTGGCATTCTTGCGCTGCAACCGCTTGCTGTTCCACGAGATGTCGTACCCGTCAATGTTGACGATCGGTACAAAGTACAAGTTGTATGAGTCCGCCGCCGTCGGTTCCTTGTTGACAATGGCGTCCAGCATCGAAGACAACGCATACAAGTTGGACGACCCTGCGGACCATTCCCGGGCGTGGATCAGACTTTGGAAGTACAACGACTTAGGCTTGGACGCGCCGCTGGTCAGTTTGTACGCGTAGATAGTCTTGCCTTGGACGGTGGTCGAAATGTTTTCTTTGGCCAACAAAGTTGGGTTCTGCTCCACCAATTTATTCACGTACTCGAAGATTTGCTCCGACGTGCGGAAACATTTGAAGAATTTGCTGTCCTTGTACTCGCCAGCTTTCAACGTCTCGATGTACCCGTCGAAGCGCTTGTGGCACTCGCGGGCCTTGTTGTCTCGGAAGGCTTGGACTTGGGCGTCGGTGCGGAGTTTTCTGTCGGGACCTTGTACCAAGGCAGCGGTATCCCCCACGGCAAATGTTACAGCCACCGAGGCAAGCGCGAGAATGCCAATGGTCTTCATGAAGCAAATGCAATAATGAGTGCAAGGTTTGGGGAGCTCGTGTGTGTCGTAGGGGGGCAGCGTGGGTATCTCATTTGGACACGAGTATATATGTACTACACATAGTAGTACGATACGTCCTCAAAATTGTTTACTGTATAATATACAGTAGATGTACTGAGAAGCCCTACGTATGGTGCACGTCATCTAAAATCTTCCAGCTGGCCAAATCGAAGAGTGGAGGTTGAATTATTTAACCTACAATTTACTCCTTGGAGTATGTAGTTAACAGTAGCCCAAAAACCAAATCCTACCGATTTCATGCGTTTTATCATTGTACTACACACATCTAAAATCTTCCAACTGGCCAAATCGAAGAGTGGAGGTTTTATTATTTAACGTACAATAAATGTAGTTAAACCCAAAAACTTAATACGTTAAATATCGAGTTTTATCACTGCAGTGGGAGGTTAAAGGCCCCAACTGCCTCCGGATATTATATACGGATAAGAGTCAAATACAAAAATCAAGACACTACGTAGTACATCTCAGCGGCCATCCCTATGGCCAAATATCCAAGCGCCCATGTAAAATTCCGCTAGGTTAAATATCTATTTCTGGACTAATTCATTACCAAATTTGGATCTGAGACGTAGAATTTCTTCACCACATTGAGATCTGTCGATTCTACGTCTCAATTTGCTGAAAATTTCAGTAATGAATATGAAATAGAAGTCAGAAAATTTTGTGAAAAGTTGGTAGTTTATAGATGACGTACACTATATTACTCGGAGTACTTCGATTAGAAGACAGCGCCCAAAGCGTAAGCGGTACTTCGATGTATACAGTACTGGCCGAGCTAAAGAAATGTCGCATTGTACTAATCCAACGAATGTACTGTACTCCAAAAGCGTACTATGAATAGTACGAAGTATTGAAGAAATATTCGAAGTACGGTTGTACACCGTATCCGGTACGTAGACTCTTGAAATGCTGTTGTGCATTCATTATTATTGTCTCTCGTTCCTCAAATCACCTCGTTGTGCGACAATTGTCCGGATGTTGTCCAAGACGTACCAGATTGAAAAGTCACCCTAACCGCTCTTACGATTTCGCCAGGCTTTTTGGACAAGATGTGCTGCCCGCCCAGCCAACGAACGCTGAACTGTATTGTGAATATGATTTGGTAGACTAATTCCCTTAGTTGCTCTAAGAGCAACACCAAATCATTTGCCTTGTACTTATACCATAGTCAAATGCAGTTTAAACACAAAAATACAACTACGTAGGGCTCCCCAGGGTTACAATTGCCTTAGGTAACCACTAGTCAAGCATCTTGATAACTACGGGAATACCATTGTAAACAAACGGGGTCCGGGTTCCAAGGTTACAGAGCTCTTGGTTCTTTCGAAGGGAGATGACTACTTAAGCAACAGTGGAGGTGTTGCTCTCAGCCAAGCTAGATAGTCGGTTCTCAAATAGACAATTATGAGGACGTATCGTACTACTATTAGTATACTGTACACATACTTGTGTCCAATTGTGCATGAAAATGAAATCTGCGCTGCCCCCCTACACTATTAGTTTACATATACTTGTGTCCAAACGAGAATGTAGAAGATACCCACGCTGCGATGTATCTTGATTTTTGTATTTGACTATTATCCGTATATAGTATCCGAAGGCACTTGGGACTGCAAGTGATAAAACGCATGAAATCGGTAGGATTTGGTTTTTGGGCTACTGTTAACTACATACTCCAAGGAGTAAATTGTAGGTTAAATAATTCAACCTCCACTCTTCGATTTGGCCAGCTGGAAGATTTTAGATGACGTGCACCATACGTAGGGCTTCTCAGTACATCTACTGTATATTATACAGTAAACAATTTTGAGGACGTATCGTACTACTATGTGTAGTATATATATACTCGTGTCCAAATGAGATACCCACGC